TCAAAAAGGGCAGTGATTTTTGTACTTGTTGTGATTATACTTGCTTTTGGTACTTATTGCACTAAAAAGCATTCTTGGTCTACTTTAACTAAGAGTTCTTTGGTTAAAGTTTGAAATTTTTTGCTACATTTTGTCCTGAGTACCTCTTTTCAGTCCTTGACTAACACTTGTGTTCACATTGTTATCGTTTTTTGTTTTTAAACCTTTTAAATCGAATTACAATGGTTGGTAAGACTCACAAATGTGGGCAACCAAATTGTTTGTTCTCCGTTGAGAAGGGAATGCAGTGTGACGACTGTAAAAAGTGGTATCACAAAATGTGTACACGACTAAGTCCGACGGCTTACAAAAGATGCTCGAAGCCTAACTCGCATTGGCTTTGTGTGTTCTGCTGTACGGATAAAAAGGTACTAATACAGGAGGCTATGGGCCTATCGGCTTTGGTCTGCAAGAAAAACGATGGTGGAAGCACTGATAACGGGAGTACTGACGATGAAGAATGTGTCAGTGTAGTAAGTGCTGCTACTGGACCAATTAAACACCTGACTGCGGTTGACGGGAACGCGAAATCTCCGTTGACATTAACGAGAAATGAAGTGTCGCCTGATATTGACATCGGCAGTCATACACCTCTAGTCGAAATAGAAGATCCGGATAAAACTGTCACCGTTCCACATAGTCCAGGTGTGGCTGTTCTGAGTGGTGACAAATGGACTCCGGTAAGAAGAAAAAAAATAAGAAGAAAAAGGCTGTAGGCAAAACGCAGCTGGTCAGCAAGACATTGGAAGGGACTGTATCAGAAGAAAAATCCTCACCGCGTGAAAAGACAGATCTCTCTGAGAGATCAGTCATTTTTCATAAGATAAGAGAATCTTCAGACACTGAACCAAAGGCAAGATTTGAACATGATCTCAATCATATTAAGACATCATTAAGTAAACTACTCCCAGATACAGTTTCAGGAGTTAGTATTTGTAAGCTTTATAGAATAGGAAAAAAGGTGGATTCCGAAAGTCCTCAGAAAAACCGCCTCCTAAAGGTTACATTCAACACGGTGGAAAAAAGGAACCTGGTTCTAAGTAATTCACGTAAACTGATTGTGTCCGGAATATATGTCCGTGAGGACCTCAGCCTAGCTGATCGTATTAAGAGAAGGGCTGCAGAAGCGGAAATAAACGAGCGTCGCCGAAATGGTGAAAGAAACCTCGTTCTTAAGTGTTTTCAGATTGTAAAAGTTCGGAGCAAAACGATCCCCAAGCCACTCTGGGTGGCAAGCGAAAGCTCTCCACAGACTTAAAAGTGTGCTACACAAATGCTCGCAGCCTACTAAATAAAATGGCGGAGCTGAAGTCAGTGGAGGATAAAGAAAAACCGGACGTTATCGCTGTCTCGGAAACTTGGTTAACGTCAGAAGTATTAGATAGTGAAATCCAATTGACTGGTTTCATAACCAGTAGGGCTGATAGATTAAACCGAAGGGGAGGCGGGGTTATTGTGTACACGAAAAGTACCCTAACCATAAGATTAGCTGAGACAGTAGCACATGTTTCAGGGACATGTGAACTGGTGAGATGTAAGTTGAAATGCCGAAGGCAAGATATTGAATTAGTTGTAGTTTATCGCAGTCCAGAATGTGTAACAGATTATTTTCTCCTCAGTAAACTTAAGTCCTGGTGTAACAACGGTAAAAGCCTTGTAGTAGGCGACTTTAATGCACCATATATAAACTGGGTTAACTTAGAAGTAGAGTCATCTATATCGTCGTTCGACTCCAAACTGTTAGAAACCTCGATTGGACTAGCATTATTCCAACACATTAGAGATCCCACAAGGTACGACTTAAGAAACCCTTCTTCTCTTTTAGATTTAGTCTTTACACACGGTGATGACGTTGGTCAAAAGGCTTTTCTCCCACCACTTGGGAGAAGTGACCATGCAGTCATCTTAATCAAATTCATGGCTGAGATTGCTTGTCAAACAATTGCGCCGGCCCGTTCTAACATATTGAAGGCAGATATGCAGGCAATTAAATCCGCAGCATCGGCTGAGAACTGGGAAATTGACTCAAAGGCATCAGTACAATAGGCATGGACTCTATTCAGACAGTTATACAATCGAGTAACTCAACCATATATACCCTGGACTGTCCCAAAGAAAAAGAAGCACGGACATCCCTGGTTAGGGCGGGATATTCGACGCTTACTAAGACAAAAGAAGAAATGCTGGGATGTTGCCATCCGCCTTGGCACAGCAGGTACGATGGAACGCTACAGATCGATAAGAAACGAGTGTATAACTAAAATTCGGGAAGCGCAAAGAAAATATGAAAAGCAGCTGGCACAATCTGCACTCAAGCAACCCAAGAGGATATTCTCGTACATAAACTACAGAACAAGGACTCATCACTGGATTCCCAACCTAATTAAAGTAGGAAGTGAATCTGAAATGATAGAGGAAGATCAGGAAAAAGCTGAGATTATGGCTGACTACTTTGGGGCAGTTTTCACTCAGGAACCTCCTCTAGAGGAAGAACCAGACCCAATTACAGAGTCAACAAACCAGCTGCTCACCGTAGACTTCGACCAAAACGATGTGCTTAAGGCTCTTAGCACCCTAAACATGGAGAAGTCAACAGGACCAGATGAACTACACCCTAAAATCTTGAGACATATTGCCCAATATATCGCAGCCCCACTGACTGTGATATTCAAAATGTCACTTGACCAAGGTGTGTTACCTATGGACTGGAAAGACGCAATCGTCACTCCCATACATAAAACTGGTCTACGACAAGTTCCATCAAATTAGAGACCCGTAAGCCTCACCAGTGTTGTAATTAAAATACTGGAAAGGATAATCAAACGGACCATAACGGCATTTATGGAAACCAATAACTTGCTGAACATGGCACAACATGGTTTTAGAAAGGGTCTATCCTGTACAACGAACCTCCTTATAGCTAGGGAGCTCTGGATTAATGCGCTAGACAACGGAAACTCAGTGGATGTTGTCTACATAGACTTCAGTAAGGCTTTTGACAAGGTGCCAACTAATAGACTGCTATTGAAGTTGGCAAACCTTGGTATTGCCGGACCTCTTTTAAAATGGATTAAGGATTTCCTAGTAGGTCGTAGGCAAAAAGTAAGAATAAATTCCAAGTGCTCCATCTGGAGACCAGTACTTAGTGGAGTACCCCAAGGTTCCGTCCTAGGTCCTTTACTTTTTATAATGTACGTTAATGATCTTACAAGTATAGTACAGTCTCCAATGTTATTATACGCTGACGATGTAAAAATTTGGCGAGTAATAACTGGTGACACAGACGCATTTACTCTTCAGGCGGACTTAAATAATATGATAAACTGGTCTAAAGAGTGGCTAATGCCTATCAACTCGGAAAAGTGTGTCTACATGCACTTGGGGGATTCAAAGGTTAATACGTACAACATAGGGGATGGGTCATTACCCATAGTCCGGTCTCATAAGGACCTAGGGGTGACAGTGAGCAATGATCTTAAGACGACGGCCCATTGCCGGGAGGTCGCAGTTAAGGGGTTTCGAACCCTCTGGGCTTTAAAAAGGACATTCACTAAGCTTGATACTACCATGTTCACCACATTATACACATCCTTAGTGAGAACTAAGTTAGAGAACTGTGTTCAGGCTGCACGCCCCTGTTTAGAAGGTGACTCAGACATACTAGAAAAGGTACAGAGGGCAGCTACGCGTGCGATTCCGGAACTCCGGGGTTTATCATATGAAGAGCGGCTTGAAAAACTGAACCTCTTTACTCTGTCCTATCGCAGACTAAGGGGAGATCTAATATTGATGTACAGAATACTGAGAAATGATTTCGGACCTAACTTATTCTCTCTCTTTCTTCCCACTAGATCGGGACACCTCAGAGGACATAGCAGGCGAGTAGAAAAGCCAAGAACGAACAAAATACCCGTGGCATACAGGTTTTCACACCGAGTCATCAATACTTGGAACCTGCTGCCTGAAGCAGTGGTATCCGCACCTTCAATTGACTCTTTCAAGAGAAGACTGGACACTCACAGAAGCATACTAGAAAAGGAATAACATAGGCCGTAGGCCTTCTGTCCTTACTACACAAATCTGAAATCTGAATCTGAGCAAACCTTGCACTGGTAACATTGAAGCGCATTTTGGCCAGTTTGACGAAAAAACTTTCCATATAATCTTCAACAGTTTTATTCGTCCCTATTTAGAGTACGGAAACATAGTATTTCCTCCCTCATTCCAAAAGGATAAGGACACTCTGGAGCGTATCCGACGGCGAGCCACGAAATCAGTTCGAGGACTCAAATTTAAACCTTATGAAGAGCGCCTCCAATCACTTAACCTTTACCCATTGGAGTATAGGCGTCTTAGAGGTGACCTTCTAATGGCTTACAGTATCCTTAACACTTATGGGCATTCTATTAAACAACTTCTTAAGTTTAGTTCCAACACTAACCTAAGGGGTAACACCCAGAAACTGGAGACACAACATAGCAGAACGGACTGTAGACAACTTTTACTCCTTAAGAGTTGTCAAATGCTGGAAGTCGCTTCTGGATGAGCTAGTCCAAGCGACTTCCCAGGAGTCCTTCAAGAGGCAACTTGATCTATTCGTAAGGATTAAGGATAGTATCATACTATGATTTACCAAGTTCTTTTTCCTCTTTTATTGGTAACATACCCAGGTTCCTGCCTAGAGGTTATGGTGATCCCTTGCTCTTAGACTCGGAAGCCTAATAAGCGAAAGCTTCTTCTATTCCGTCCACAACCATTTGAACCACTTGGGACATTTGTGGTATTCTTGTTTAAATGCCTCGACCTATGTTGTGTAATGCAAGATCAATTACAATAGACACGAAAGTCTGTTGTAAGTAAGCCATTTTTATTTAGTACACTTAACTATGAGATAGTTTAAGATTTGTTAAACATATTCAAGACATATAATATTTAATAAGCGCATTAGTCAATTCAAGGACATGGAAGGCAATAACAATCGAGAAGATGAGGAGGTACTTCTTTTTTTAAGACTTCATACAATTTTGAGTAGGTGGAACAACCCGTGCTTGTGGAAGAGCCATTGGACCTTATTAGACTAAGCTTGGATGAAAAAATATACGTTAAAATGAAACGTAACCGTGAATTGCGAGGTGTCTTACACGTATGTTAATGTTTGATTACACACCCCTTTGATAAATGTTAATATCAATGAGTATCTCTATATCTTTCTTTAGCTTGTTGCCTTATTTTGGTCTCTTGTAAGAGTATGAACACTTAGACGTTAATTACAAGTTTTTAACTCTAGATTAGAGGATTACAGACTTAACTCCTGTTGATTCAGTGACTAGACTTAGTGCAACCACCACAGCGTGATATCTGTCATGACAAAACTATAACATCCGCGATCCAAACTTTCTTCTAGATCAAGATGTCACATGCACTTTCTAGTTTCCAGAGAAACTAGAAACAGCTCTGTTGTCTCTCGTTAAAATTATGTTTTGTAACTCAGTATTTTGATTCTAAATATACTCAGTATTATTTTCATTACGATGTCAAGTTTGTGTAAACATATTGGTGATTTGTGTCTCTAGATTATATTCTACAAACTCATGTTTTGGGCCTAAATAGTCTTCGTTCTCTGGAAGAAGTCTATTTCAGAAACAAGTATTATGTTTTAAAAATATTATGCCGTTATAATACAAATCGTGTTTTTTGACACAAGTTGTCTTATGATCCCTGTTTAAACATCCCATACAGTACACAAAGCTCTTTTAAACAATTTACTTTCATTGTAATAATATACTATATTTCCCAGACGGTAACTAACACCCATCTTTAAGTAGCCATAATACTGGTCTCACTTAGTCCATTTCCCGGTTCGTAATGTACTTGACGAGGTCGACTAATTTGAATCTTACTAGTGAATATTCTACTTTATTATATGTCTTGTTCTTTGTTTCTTCGTCATGGCTTCTCACGTTAGGTTTCGCAAGTCAGTTTATTCTGTAGATTTATTTTATATACATGTAACCCTTGCAAACATAGAGTTGGGCTTTTCATCCTTCGGCGGTCCTATGCTTCATGTATCATTGCTTTTTTGCCGAAATTTGAATCGACATGTTACGCACTATTTGTAGTTAATAATCACACGATGGTATTTCAAAACTATGCAGTTTAATAATTGGTGACCTTCCTTATTCAAATAAGCCTAAAGTTACGATTTTAGTGGTCAAGGCACTATACTCTAATCCAGTCGACCCCCAAATGCCCTGGTATGGTTAATGGTCGAGTTCACTCTCACATGGTCATACGTATATAGCCATTGTCGGGGAAGTCCTACTCACTGCATTCGCACTGAGAGGATGTTGTTTACGAAGTTGAGAGAACGGAAAGCAAATGTCCGGTGCTTTGACCGGGTCGATGAAGGCAAAGGGTCCACCTGGGGGAGTCGGAAAAACCTGGTTCCAAATCAATGGTGCACATGGGCTCCAGGATCCTGAATAAACAAAAGGCGTATGCGCCTACTGTTGACCACTAGCTACTATAAGACTGCGTCTTCTGACGTTGCTCCACCAGCTTGTTGATTAGACCTCTAGGTCAAAGGCTCAGAAAGTGACCCCCTAAGAAAACCACTTAGCTCGGTTTAGACGCTCAGGCACTATTCCATCCCTCACACAAATCGAATGATGAGATGTGGCGCATACATGTTTCGTATGTTTGAATAGGTAAATAAATAGTCGGTCACCAATTAGGATCCACTTATATTTCAAGGCAAATATTCCTTATATATATTTCTCTTAAACTATGATTTATAAAATATATTAATTTGCTTCGTCTCTTTCCGCATTTCATTCATATTCATGCACACACTAGTCTTTTCTCGACTCCAATTTACTCGTGAACTTTGCTCCGATGACCCTAGGTGTATAAATATCCTACGTCACCTACAATCTTAGCCATCAAATTAATTAATGTATGGATTGGCATGTGAGAATAATTGGTTCTGAAACTTCAGTGATATATAACCAGTGTGAAAACCTCATGTATTTTACACAGTGTCTGGTGTTCAACTTGTTTTGTTACTCATCTGTATAAGCATCATCATCATCATCATCAAAAGTGCACTATTTTGTTTTTTCGATACGCTATTTCGTCAAGTCTAGGAGTACTGGTATGCTGTTTGAATACACATTTCTCAGCCCTACTGACCGCAAATTTATATGCCAAATGTACCATCTGCTAGACATAAGTACAATATAATGCTTGATATTATCTACCTGAAGAAGTGTTTCCTTATGATTCTAAAGATTTATCAAACGGTCTTCCGAGAAATATAATGTCTTCTGTTCGTTATTAATAATGTGCGCCTACATTTAGATTCATAATATGACTATTGATGGTACTTATACTGAAGTAAGGCCGGTTCCAAACTTGCAACTTAATGTTCAAAAATGGAGTGCGTTAAATACTAAGAAAGCTTTCCACAAATTCGTAATGACTTTATTATCAATCTCTACTTACTGTTAGATTTGAGACAATGTTTGTTATCACAGACAATGCTAGTGCATGTTTCTACACAATATGTAGTTATTGATAAAGGTGTACAGAATCTCCATAAAGGGTGATATAAGCCAACTGAAAGAATTTGTTTCCTCGGCCTGCCGTCATAAAAGTTTTAACAAAATAACTACTATGCTTCATTTATTATGGCTGGGTAACGACCCTTGATTTTTTCACCTTTGGCGATTATCAGTTAATTGTAAACAGAGATAATTGACAGGTAGTTACACTTAGCTTGTCTATTATTATTGCTAGACCAAGCAACATGAAATTGATATGTAGTTGATCTGTATTTAGTTTACATATATCGCTCTTCAGGTTTCGATGACAATACTGTCTTCCATGAAGTGACCTGACACTGGTAAATCCGGAAACAAATGCACTCATAGTTAATGCACGGTATATGAATTTGGTTATCCTTCTTTACTCTATAAGTGACATTTGTACTTCATTTTTGCCTTTTGCACGTGATCTTTTAAGCGTAGACTCCATTATAGATAGCGTCAAGTGGTAATAATGATAGGTTCAGTATTTCATAACAGTCAGTTATAATACGAGTCATAAGCCAATACACAAGTATAGTATAATAAAACAGTTCCCCAGATAAAAACAGTTTAATGTATTTTAACTGAAACAGGCTTTCGACTCACATTTGAACATGATTCTGGGGAATGTTGAAGAAACTGTAACAACATTGGAGATAGATGAGGAAACATATGAAGAAGTTTACAAGGTAATCTATTTTGACCTCTAACAAAATACCCTTCATTGTAGACTACAAAGCGCACAATACCCATGCTGTTTATTCGCGGAGATGGTGTTATCCTAGTTTCGCCTCCACAAAAGGACTAACTCTTGTACAGTCAATTTTTATGCATCGTAATACATATCCATCAATAAAACATGTCATTTAACAACAGTTTGAATATTTCACTCAGTAAATAGTCCTATAACGTTTCAGCAGTACTGTAAGATGTTTGGCACACTAATAGTTCTTTAATAACGTATCCGGATCTTGTAATTCTCTGCAAATTAAAATATTAGCATTGAACTATTCATTTTCGAAATGGCAGTGGATTTTTTTTACTAGGAAGTATCGACCAGATAATAGTAAAACATTTTCAGCAATTTTCAACGAAGTCAGTCAGTTCGATAAAAATGGGAACACAAGGATATAATATGCCGATTATTTAATAAGTAAACTGGCAACGTGTATACGGATTCTCAAAGTTTTAATACCGAAGTGTTGTACTCCAATAAGAATCCAGTGAAACTTTTCTATGCTTTAGCATAAATTGTTATTTAGTTATAAATTCAAGCAGGTGTTGGTGTGCATCTGACATAGATGCCGAATTCGTGCATCCCAAAACCGTTCCTCCCTAGAACTCAAAATAGACTGTTTCTGAGGAGAATTTAAGAATGGTAATCAATACTGTTCCAAAGTTCTGGATAATAATTGGAGTTATTGGATCAAGTTCTCTATATTGTAGTCCTACTAATGACCGGTTTGAGTAAAATAGCAATAATATTTTACTATAACATTGGTTACTTCAGGTTCGAATAGTGTCAGAAATTTGATTCGTCAGGCCACTAGCTAAGAAATATTTTTAACGATAATATAGTTTCAGTGAAAAGATATTTTCCTACGTGCTTCTAAAAAGTATATACCTCATCGGAAATTTAAACGTAGGCAAGTTGATCAAACATCACTTTATTTAAAAAAAACTCGCGAAATACCAAACAATAGAAATTTCAAGAGCAATGTCAGCGCCACGCTTCGGAGAAGTACATCAGTAAAGATCGCAGTGATCGTTCATAGCTTAAAAAATTCAATATGAGTAAGTATCATACTTTCTGCATACTGCAATCAAAACATGGATGTAGCAAATTAATAATCACCTCCCAAAAACACTAACCAAACTAACCGATAGATTGCTTATCGAGTGGCATCTCCCCGGCGAACTTTACTCGACTATTACATCTAGCTTGACAGTTGTTCTACAATTAATGATTAAAAGTTACTGATAATGAGGACCAGTATAAATTAAGGTTCAATGATTGTTTTATCAGTCTGCCAATAGAAGCGAGATGAACCATTTTTATAACCGTACTGATATTTGTGGCTGCGTACAATCACCTGATGTTCCTCATGGTAGATAGCGAACCCCACTAAGATAGCAGTTTACCAATGGTGAAAATCAATTAATCATAACCAACACAACCCGACACCAATGAATATCGTCTAAATTATTTGTAACAACGATTCCCATTTTCGAGCATAGGCCGAAATTAAGAGTTACTCCAAAAGTGAGTGTTCATTTATAGCTCTGGAAACATAAAAATCCCACGCAAACATGATTTACTTCAAACTTACAACATAAAATGAGTAGAAGTATCTTAAGTAATACATACACTGAAATTGGAAGAGTACACCGTGATACTAAGCACGGGATAGAAGAGAAACGTTTTACAGAATTCGTATGTCAACAATTAACAGTACTGAAATTAGTTAAGCCGTAAACTAACTGGGACCGTAACACACTCGGGTCTAAAAGAGTGGAAAGTGAAAACGTTATTCAATCTGATATTTATGCTTCATAATCTAGAGAAAGGATAGTTGAACTATAAACGTTCCCACGAAATCAAGCTATAAAAACTGTTCAAAATAACTAATGCACAATGTATAAAAATTTTCGAGAAAAAAAAAGGGCAAAGTGATCAGACAGATACATTGAGATCAATTTCGTTGACAGTACTTCTGATATGTACGCTGGATTGCTCGATAAAACGTAAAATAACGTCTGACCACTTGTTACAAAGCCAAGTATCATTATGATGACCATCCGGAAAACTCACAAGACCATCTCTTCCAGAATTAATGAAGGTAACTGGGTTTTGGGAAAGCGAGTTAGGCTTTGGGGAGTCGTCGTACATTACGCTCGAACTACACTCATTTCGAATATGCTGTTTTGTCACTATATTTTCATAAGCTTCAGCAAGCTTCCACATCATTTTTGGTGGAATAATATTATCCAACTCACCTGAGATAAGCAAAAGAGGTGGGAAAGCTGAGGATTTCTTTCTAGATTTGCTACAACTTTGAAGTCTAGCCAAGGAGGTATATTGATTTGAGAACAACCAAGAGGGCAATTTACAGGGTATATTGAGGATATGACTTGCAGCATCAGTGATAGATGTAAACGTATTTTCAATAATAACACCACATATTTTCTCACTTGATGTAGGATCCACTGCCAAATAAATACCTAACGCTCCTCCCAACGATCGACCAAGTACAAATATTTTTTCATTGTTCAGATCACTTCTCATGTATAAATAATTAAGAGCACACGTACAATCTGCATATAAACCCTCTTCACTTGGCTTTCCGGTACTTTGACCATAACCTCGATAGTCTATAATAAAAATATTACATTGAAAACGGTTTTCTAAAACTTGACACATTGGTAGCCGGGTAGTAGAGTTTCCTGCATTTCCATGCAAAAGAAGCACAACTGGACAAGACTTTCTGCGACATAAATCAGGCTGAAGAAGAAGGAAACCAATAATTGTTGGCCCAGTGTTGCCATTAGGACATAATTTTACCAATTCCCATGTAGAAAATCCAAAACATGATGGATTCATGTATAAAAATTTCGAAGACGGTGGTTCATCACAAGCATAAACTATTGTCTGTTCTAGGTACTGAAAACAAAACCATAAAGCAAGTAACAATAATAAAACAGAAATTAAGAGAGAAAGGGGCAAAATTAAATAATCGAGCGACAACGAAATTGGTATCCCAAAAACAATAAGAATAAACAGGCCAGGAACACGAAATGATTTGTTGCAGTTTGTTAATGGGCAGAAAGGCTTTGGATTTATAATCCAGTAACTGAACTGAGAACGAATTGGCCGAAGAAGAAGAAACAAACGTCCAAATAAACCTCGTCGCATTGTTAAGCCTTCATTCAAGCATGAATTCGATCCACTCACGGGAGTTCCTGAGGTCTGAAATGAAAGCCAAGAAACACATGCAAAATTACTTCGTAAAAACTGGATAAAGATTCAACTTTTGAATGTAGAGAATCTGAATGCTGCTAGAAGAGCAAATCAATCAGGTGTATTCAGTTTCGCGAAAATGCGAAACATGTAGTTTGCTAACAGCAACAACAAGAGTAATCAAAAGAAACACAAAACGTGATTCTCCGACCAGCAATAAAGTGAAGAAATATGGCTAACAGTGTTGTAAACATATGTATGGTTTTAAGACGACAATGCTACGGTGCTTATCTTCGAATGCAAAAACTTTGCGTATCTTTAGATATACTGAATTTGCGCTATCAGGTGATAAAAAAAGACCAGTTTGTATCACATCCATACTACAACACAAAAGGTCGAATAAATGCACGACAGTCCTTTTGTGTTAATCCAAAGTCACAAATAATTAAAACCATCTGCCGTAAATTTTAAAGTTTCAATATCAAATCGTTACTTCAAATAACACGAATCATAGCTACTAATAACAATATGATAGTACATATTGTGTCAGTACTAATAAGGAATTATGTTTCTGGGTAACCCCTAGTATTATCCGATCGGATTCGCTGATTATTAATTATTTGAGATCTGATGACAACAATCCAATTCCGACTAATTACAATCATCTAAGCAATATTGGTATACAATAAAAGATTGTATCGTGTTTGTATGGAAGTTATCCAGATAACCAGGGTTCTATGCTGTTAAAATAAATGGATTGTGAAATCCCAAACTTATTTCACTAAACTAGACTTTCCAGACCTGTCACAGAACGGTTATAACCCCATGAATTAGAGCTTCCAACGTTCTTAATAATAAATGTTAGAACGGAACACGAACTAGGTTGATAGATAATTTGCATTTGTAAATACCTCCAGTGAAATCGGGAAGTGACTATAATTTGATACATGAATGTTCTGAAACCAATAACAACTAACAAAAAATCTGAAAAGCCAAATCCATTCTACTAAATACTGTTTAATAACCAACTCTCTTGAATATAGATATGAACTCGAAACATGTTTCCATGTCAATAAATAATCAGGGTTGCTAAGAAAAACCAGTCGATTTCTTGGAGTACATATAAAGTCTCTACAATGATGAAAAACATGGAATGTCCCAAAGTCTGTCAAGTAACGGATTTAGTGAATAGATCAGCTAGAAATCATGCAATTTGTATTGGTCTGAATGAAAAAAATAGGTTAAATTAGTGTGTCTCTTATGAAGACATTTCCCAGATGAGGTCGCAAACATTTTTGGTATTCAAAATTTAGTATAAAATATTTCTTTCGGAGTTGGTTATGTGGGATTTAGTGGTCTTTGCCTAAACCATTCCGCGGAACAGACTCAAGAAACATGAGAAATTCTGATTTATGAAGATCCAACGTTTTGGCCTACATGTCATGAGTGACTGCTAATTATAATCTTCGGGTTTTTAACTTGTTCTACATTTTAGTCGTCGAAAAATTATATTGAACCAGTAGTTATAAAATGACAATAAATGTCTTCGGTTGAGTTCAATTGTTGACAGTATTATAGAATGAAAAGTATCTTATGCTATCAGGATTAGTGTCTTTCCGTCTAAATTTTTCAATCTCAACTGGATTCATCGAAAATTAAATAACTATGTTCAGCGTCAATGCAGATAGAATTAGTCTAAAAAATGCGAATCAATAAGCCACACTGCTAGCATATTCGTACTACATCTGAAGTCAGCAAAACCGAAAACTAAGTTAGAATAATATTAACCTAGAGTAAGTCAGTTTTTTCAAGTGAAAAATAAAACACCGCGTACCATCTTCAGCACACTTATACTCCAAATACTAATAATATGGTGGTGATCATCTCGACACGTAACAGAGAACCAAGAAGAGCATAAGTGACCTACAACATAGAAACGCGATCATCATATGCCAAAATTCACAAATCTGATGGTTATTAAATTCGCTTTATTCTGCTATTCTACATGTAAGCGGTTACACAGAAATGAAACTAGGTTTTACGCTGCATGACTGTATGCTACTGTCTAGTGGTACGAAATTCTCAAGGTTTATAAATAGCCACATGCATTCAAATGCAGAACAAAAGAAAACGCAAAAATGATAAACCTTATCCTGAAATTCAAAGAAGATTTGTGGATGATATGTACGTCTAAAGTGGATTACGAACATTTATGGTAGTTATTAGGGGATACAAAAAGCAACGTAAAAGAAAAAGAAAAGTCTTGGATAATTTATACAATTTATTTATACAAATCAGAATAAAAAACATTTGTACAAAAGTAAGTCATCTGAGTATGTTATTTAAGCACTAAGTCCAGCTTTTTTCTCTGCAATCACATATATTAACAGACGCCACATTTTTACAACAAATACTTCTGCCTCCTCATCTAAAACCTGAAGATAAAAATCACAAACCAAATCATAATAGCATTAAAGTCATAAATTAAATGCATTTGATATGATGATAATAATTTGAATATACGTATGTAATCGACGTTGCAATGAACCACATATGATGTAAACAAACACTAATGGTGTGAACCTTTGTAAGATTGTTCTATCATAAAACTAGGTCGGTAAGTTTGTATGAACGACATTACTCACAAAACTAGAAATAGATTCCCACTTAGTAGACAATTAATGTTCAACACTAAAATGGTAGTTTGGACATAGTTTGGGAAACCATAATCTGTTTGTCTAGCATAGCTCGAAGCCGAAAAGTATCTAAGAATGATTCTTCAAAGTAATCCTTTGACCACTATTTTAAATTTGTCACTGCTCTGAAAAGTTAGTGTCAGTTATAACCATAACAATGGTGACCCAAAAATATGGTAGTTCACACCCCCCAATAACTCTGACTTAGACCCAATTGTATTTAACTACCAATCAGTGAAAATTGGTGTTGTGAATTATTTTTTATTGCATTACTTAATATTGGTCGATATGTAGCACTCTCCCATTTTCTGGCTATATTTATTCTATATTCTAATGTGTGACAATGTGATCAATTATATGAGACGTAAAGCAAAAACATTCACAAAAAGCATGCACCTATTTAGGTTATTGGACAATGAGAGAATAACGATGCGAGGAAATGGAAACGATTGGAAATAATGTTATTGATAAACTGAAGGAAAAATTGTGAAAACCAATCGAAAATAAGAAATCGGTGGCTTCACAGAATAAAAACTAAGTATTCCGTATATTTGGGATGGATTTTGAGATCAACATCTTAAGCAATTAGTTTCTATAGTCCTGTTTATACTCACACATCTGATATAACGACAGAAACTTTATATATATATATATATATTTCACGTTTAACTTCTTCCTAGCAATATTTTTTTAATGGGTAGTTTTCGATACCAGAGATAGTAAAGCTTGATGAGTATAAATCGGATTCGATAGCTGAACCATAATCGCTAAATAACCTCTGAATGTAATGGTTAATATATTTAATTACTTTATTATTTATTTTTAAGATGTGTCGAGATTGTTTATTCTCAATATGTAATACAAACCAAAGATTTCTACCTTCCAAATTAAGATATATTTTATTAGTATATACACCTTAAATCATTATGTAGTCTGAGTACCATAGAAGACATTGAGATATGACTATCGCTAGACAGAAAAAGATCCGACTATAAAAGCAACACACAGACTATAACAAAATATGGATAGTCATGTAATATGGATTTTGTGAATCAAACAACACAGTTTGAATAGGAATACACAGATCACATTCACTTACAATAAACACCTCACTACTTAAGAAAATAGGAAATCACGACAAGAATGCAACTGGTTTTCAAGAATCAGTTATCATCTACATCTGATGCAAACGGGAATCGTTATAAGCTAAGTACCTAATACTAGCATAGTAAAAGATGGAACGGATAAATCAAAAAGATAAAAGGGATTAACTACAACTGAAGTAAAAATCTAGTGGTGAATTATGCGACACAATGACGATCAGTCTAATATTTAGGAAGCACGGAATGGATGCAAATGTTCCACCACTGAAACTGAATAAATTTATAGATACATGAATGTTCTCTTAGTAACGTTAAAGGTTAGATATTATAACTAATTTTTGAGTAATACTTACCATGGCAATGTCAGCAAGAATACGTTCTGGTGGATTGTGGTGTAGTAGTTGATCGCATATGAAACTGGATAATGTTGCTTCTGCTTCTCCGATATAACTTACAATTTTCTTATCTACCCAAGGCTTTATTCGAGAATTGACGAAATCCTGAAAGAAAACAATTGTTTGGAAAATTATTTACTGTAAATATTCATGGTGATGGATGAAAAGAAGGGTTAAATTAATGTTCATATCATGAAAAGCGCATCAGAACTGATCCAATACTGCTGTAAATTTGTGGAAAATACGAGAACCTTTGTTATGATTTTTTTAAAGACGACACACTACTTCACTCAACGAGTTCCCGAATCGGAACACGGTTGAACAGAAACAGTAAGAAAAAGGTTGGTGTATTTATAATTATCGTATAAGATTATAGTCTGCTCCAAGTCTCCACTAATTGCGTTTCTAGCTTCTCTAGAGTTACTGCCGGTCCAAATACTGAGTAAAGGATGAGGGTTGAGCATGGTATTAGACAAACAGCAGTACAAAGGTTCAATACAACCTTAGTTCGACATACCGACAAACTCAAGACAGTACTAGTGTACGGAGATGAAGTTTGGAGAACTACCACAACCATCATCAAAGGGGTGCAACTATTCATAAACAATCGTCTACACAAGATACCGAATGTTGAAGAGAATAAATCAGCTTCCAGCTGAAGAGGAAATTATGAGAAGACTCTGGGAGTGGATAGGACATACATTGTGGAAATCATCAAACCGCATCACGAGGAAAGTGCTAACTTTGAATTCTGAAAGGAAAAGAGGAAGGCTAAATATCACACTGCGTCGGAAACTGGAAACAGACAATAAAAGAATGAATAGCAACTAGAGAAAATTGTAAACGACCTCCCAGGACAAAGTTTGACAGAGAACTCTGGCGGGCGGGCTATGCTCGTCCACGAGGGATAACGGGCGTATGTCTCAGCTAACGCTGATTGATTAGGAAGTAGCCAATCAGTGTTCCCCAGCACAATCTTGCCCGAAGCGTGCTTTAATTCAATCTATATCTCTCTAGCACCTATCGGTAATACCATATAAATTGCATGGTGTGTATCTTTTAACTGTTTGGTAGCTCTCTTCGCATATGATTAGTAATCACTGACCCTAATTAAAAAATGGCAAAGAACTTAGTGTACAGAACAGCATTCAATAAATGAGCTGTACTACAATTTAATGTGACACTTATTTAAAGCACGCAAATAAAAGAAACAATAACATATTTGTTGTTCAAAACAATATTACCCTATATTCAAAGAATTGAAATATAGCACCAAATTGATTGCTACTAATTCACAACACTTAACAAAATTGATAGATTTGTAGACGGTGTACAAAAAACATACAACACTTACGGCATCAACCATATCCCAGTCAATAGGATAAGCAAATAATTCTCTTTTGTGAGTTGGTATCCCCTCAATAATTCTTTTGATAATTGCTTTTTTTTCTTCTGTTGACAATGCTGAAACTGGTGGTAAGTTGTTTGAATCATTTTGGTTTGAATCGCCTCCATTTGAAGGATTGGATATTGAATTTGCCTTTAAAGCTGACGGTGGCAGCCATGAAAGACCATGTTTTTTCGGTTTCTCATCCTGCTCTTCATCAGCGAATGCCGATGCAGTTTTGCGAACTACTGGTTCAACTAATGTAAACAAGAATTAGGAAGGTAACTGAGATATACAACCATACAAATCACCTATTACTAAACAAAATTTGCGGTATGATTTAAGTGGAGACAATGCTGAAGTAAATAGAATATACATATAGATATGAGTTTCACTTTATCCTGGTGTCCAATTACACAACGGAGATAAAAAAGCTTTTCGTAATCCTTTCACTTTATATTTTTGCACTACCTTAGAAATAATCAAATGTCTAACAGAACCCTAGCGTTCCGCTTCCGCTACACACATCAGGCAGAGTTCTTCTTAGTGAAGATGTGGCGAAAAAACAAGAAACACTTGGAGTACTGAAACTTTGAGTGAATATATTGAAGTTATATCGATCTCTAGACAATATAACTAAGATGATTAGTGGGAATATGTACTTGTTACAACCAGGGTAACCGATTCAATCAACTCATTTATCCAGTGCCAGTTTATGTACCTCGCTTTGTGAAAGTGATACCACCCAGTGGCTCAAACCCGATGTGAAGTGAAGTTTGAATCTGCAGCAAACTGTTGGAAGCCGACTGGTTTTGTCAGTAATCCACTAATTTCATGCATAAAGAGAAGTAAGAAACGGTCCAAAACATGAAAAGTTAATTGAAGTAGACCTAAAAATTCTAAAATAGAGAAACTGAAATGCAGTAAATGTGATACTAATAACGTTTGGTTTGATCTGTGTTAGTCGGAATAAATCTGCAAATTGTAGTGGTTCGAAAACTTGGTAAGTATACTTTGCACTCAATCATAAGTAAACAAGTCATGAAATCAGTGTAAAAGAGTTATTGTCAAAAACGAAAACTATTAAAGTAATGAGTATATTTGATACTTTAATCCATTTACTAAGAAATGTGGCAGCAGTTCAATATGATAGGGTGTTCTCAATATGACCATCAATTCTCAATTAGGATATTGTTTAGCCAATCAATTATAAACAATGCAGAAGCTGTCACACAAATTTGTCGGTCCAAGTTGAC